CGTGCGGTTGCGTTGCGTACCCACTACCCGAGTTTAGTTCCAGAGGCTCATATATTACTTCACCACCTTTCTTCAGATCCCCAAAGAGGCTCGGTTCGGACAAAACGGCTTGTATTGATCGGATCTCCGTAGGGGCGCATGACCTCCGCGCCGTGTGGTTGTCTTGAAACAACTCCTTACAAACTCGTCGATTCAAAACAAAAAGTCCTTATTTGGTATCAGCGTCGCAAGCACCATTGAATCACATACATTTTGAATTACAAGCATTGAAATGGAATTTCCCTTGATCTTCACTGCCACTGCGCTTAAGGTTAGGTAAGAGCCTTGATCTACCGCAGTCGATGCCTCCCGTCGACGTCGAAAAAAGACGCGTCCCGCCGAAATCGAGGGACCGGCAAAAAGCGAGGGACTATGGACATTGCGGAGAAGCAGACGGCCAAACGAGGGGTCGGCGACAACCATCGACCGTAGTAGATCAAATGAGCTGCCACCGATCTGACTATTAAAAGCAAAGATCAAACTAAAATTCAGATTAGAAGTTTGCCCTACAAAGTATACATCATTAGATAGAGTTTTCAACGCTGATTTCAAATATGAAGACCGTTTTGGATTCTGTGAACATCTACAATGACAAAGCGGGGAAAAGTGCAGAACTTTTTTAATGGCTGTTTTCTGAAATACTGTGCTGTCTCGCGAGCAGTATTGAGCTCTCATATGTTGTGTAAGCACCAAGAACGCGTACGGGCGCGACGGCAGTCATCAACCTCACTTGTGCTGGAATCGTTTGGTTGGTTTAACCTGCACACTATTAAATGATTTATTAAATTTCCTACACTTACTAATTTTTTACAACCCAGGCCCACAATAATACAACCTCAAAAAGGATTAGGGAATTTTTTTGCAATCTCACACATAGGAGTGAGGACCCTAATCACTAAAATGACATTTGTTACGCTGATTTTGCTACAAATTGCGTTGGACTGGCGCTAATGGTTCCAGCGCTGAAAAGCGTATGGCATATTCGTTACCAGGAAGCCATAATAACCCATATATGTAAGTTTTTAGCGAGTATAGTGGGAAAAAGTACGGCGCCAAACTCGCGCGAACTGGCGTCAAAAGGCGTCAATGTAGGGAAGGAGTGTCATATTCGTAATCAAAGCACTGAATACCCGTATTGACTAAGTGTTGATCAAGAATTTTCCGGATCTTTTTTTGGATTGTAAAAGTGCAGTAGCGCCAGAATTATCGTATTCGTGTTCCGTGCTCCACAGCAAAGGCTCTGCCTCAGCGGCCTAGCAAGGCCGTAGTGGCGACGCTCGCGACGTGACACGCCCACCAGCGTCCAAGTAATAACAGAGGTATTCGATGCTGTGCTATTCCATCGTTTGCTCTTCATTTCGTGAATGCTCTTGATTTTTTCCTCACCACTGCATCTTTGACCACCTCTGCAATCTCTGTCAACGGCCGCCCTTTTATCACAAAATCGCCTTCAATTTCTAGTGGCGTGTATACTATAGCGCATCCTACACGTGATTGATTAATTAAATCAAGCGATTACGATAAGGAATTTTCGCATCGGGGGAGAACCTGCGCCACACGGAGCAATTACTTGGCTGCCAAGGAAGCGATGTGTGGCGCTTCCACGGCGAAAGGTGCTGTGGTTGCTGAGCAGGACCTCCGCAGCACTCCGCCTCCAGCAGCGTTACGCCCACTTGTTCAGATGATGACTTGGGCGAGCGTTTGCTGTTGCTATTTGGCTCATTTTTTGGGAGATCGTTTCCCTTCGTCAACTTGCCCATGTATGCCTTATCAATCAAACACTATGCTTGTTGGCATGATGGCGGCTATCGGGGTTAACACGTCCGAACAACGTCTTCTTTACCGTCGCTCATCCATGGTCGAAAATGAAAGGGCAATCAAAGGGGTACTATTTTGCTTATTTTTGACGGATTTCTTTGCTTTTTTCGCCATTGGCGTACCATTGAGCACCCCCCCCCCCCGCCTCGTCCCTTTTGAGAGCCTCCAGAATCTATCGCAATAGCTGCCTACGAATGAAAAATATAAGACAGTAAAATGATAAATTTAGCAATAATCATGCGCAAAGCGCTAAGCCCTTTCACTGCCAATGTACTTTAAGATGGTGCTTCATAAGGCATGCGGTATCGACCAAAACCCGCTAAAGTTACGACTCAACTGTTGAGAGAATGTAAGTTACTTCTTGGAAGGTTTATTGAAGCTTCATGTTCTTTTTCCTTCAAACACTTCGTCAGCTTGGAATTATCATAATCCTCGTGTCAAAACACTCATAATTGTCATAGTTTCAAAAGCAAACATTTTATACGATAAAGTGTGATCAAGAGGCAATCGCATAAGGAGAAAACCTCGAAAACTGCTATAAGTTGGTTTTGAAGCTAGTATAACTGAAAAAACAGCACATTGTGGTGAACCGGTTCACATCAGAGATTAAGTGATCGATTACTACAACAACCAAATGGCTCCACCTCCCGCAATTGTTGCACGAGTATGAGAAATCACGGGTTTCAGAGTAAGTGTCCGGTTGTCCACGGATGTGAACAACAATGTTATAAATATCTCACTCAGCTGATCACTCCGACACACAAATCGATACGCACAAGGAATGTGAACACGAGAACTTTTGACCAACTATAGCGCTTGATAAATTTATCCTTATGGACGTAAAACCAATCGCATCGCTGCCGCTAGCGTTGAGGGACAGAAGGCTTGGGGTAGGCGAGTCAAGACCCAGTCCCTCGGACAGCGCTAGCGGTCAACGGTCTCATTCCACCATTGCCGACTTCAGAAGAAACATGTTTCATTTTTTATTGGATCACTGCTGTTTTACGCCGCAATCTCGAAAGTTCTCACAAGAATGCTGAGTTGCTGCTCAAAACTTTTGCTCCAGCAGGAATCGTTACCAATCTCTTGCCTTTCCGGGCAATTTGCTGCAGACCAGTTACAGTGGTGTAGGTTCCAGTATGGCCACAACTTAGCATTCCTGTGACAACAGAGTTCAGTGTTTTCTATGGTGGTTTTCGCCTTTTTCCCCCATTAACGTCCTCTTCGTATTTCTTGTCCATTTTTCCGAACCATCAATTCAATGGTGACCTATGCCCTTAGCTTTTACATATATAATGTTGAAATTGACCATGATGCACAGCTGAAAGTGTGCTATAAATGCATGAATTAGGAGGATCTATGGAGAAAAAGGGTGGAACTTGAATGCTAACGAGGTCACAGGAAGTGGAGGAACGAAGTTTAGTGATTAACAGGCTTTTTTTTAGGATTCATTTACTTGCAGGATCAGCGGGGGAAGTGGTGCAGTGACAAGTGGCGCGCTCACCACGCGAGCGGTCCGGGATCAAATCCTGGGTCGTGAGTCGCCCGGGCCAACCAAGCCTTCCATCCCTCCGGGGTCGGTTAATTGGTACCAGACTTGTCTGGGAGGATAAAAACACTGACTTGTACATCGGCTGGCCCCCGCAAGTCATTGTATAGGCCACATCGCATTCAAACGCCACTACGAATGTACAAATGGAAGTAGAATGCGTGCCGCATCCCAAAAAGGGATTGATCAACGGCAAATTTATTTTATTTATTTATTGCGGGACCATTATGGGAAATAAAAACACTCAGCAATGATGGGAGTTTATAGATAATTTGAGTAGGTGAATAATGAATAGCAGACTAGCATGATAAGCCATGAATTCGACTTTCATTCAGAATTCCAAAGGAAGGATCTATGTACGACTATAATCAACAAGCAATTATTTCGGCAATATGATAATGTTAAGATGATATTTTGAGGAGACCGTCAGCGACAGTGAATCACTTCGTCATCAACCAAGAAATATTATAATCGTATAGCACACCTCCGCAAGAATGTCACGGACAAAACAAGGAGCACAACTGTTCGGGTAAGCGCAGCACAACGAAGAACTGGTTAAGCACATGCGTGCAGAGGTGGTGAAGACGAATGAGATGAACGCAAGGGCGATCGCCATCCAGCAGCAATCGATCCCGATCGCTATTTCTTCATATGAAAGGATCGATGAACTTCCAAGGTCGTAGATAGAAGGATACTCAATTCGATCCGAGCCAAATCCATTTCTTTGTGTTTTGGGGAAATCCAGCTGGGGTAAGTGTCTCAGAGAGGCGGTGGGGGGGGGGACATTTGGGAAGATAGGCCGTGAAGCTTTCTGTATCCCCAACTTTCGCAGGAGACGTAGCTCTCGAGTGAGTGTGAAAGCGAAAGCGGAACGGCTAAACATCCTGAAACTTCGCCCCCCCCCTTCTGAACTTGGATTCACCGCAGGCGGCAGGAACTATTTTCCCAAATGTTAAACACATTGTACTGTAGATCACCATGATAAAAGATACCCGCCGCTGTTATACAAGGGCGATATGCTATTCACCTGGGGACAATATTCCTCTGAAAAAGGGATGCTATGTGAATAGGGCGGGCATGCCAATTTTTTTAGCAAAAGGAAGGGTGATGGCAGACATTGTGAATCGCTGGGTACAAGCGAAGCACCAGCGGTTGGAAAGATGCACCAGCGACCCCCCGACAGTGTTAGAAAGTGGCGGAAGTCTAGACCCGCCACCTAGCGATTCGCAAAGTCTGACATCGGCCGAACTTCGAGTAGAACGATCCTGCTCACACATCCCATAATTCCTGACTCCTCTTTTTCCTTTCTTCTGAGAAATGCCTTTTCAATGACCGCTTGCCTTGTTTTGCTGTTTAGTGTTTACGGAGTAGCACACCATATGTGTAGATCTTTATAACTTCGTATCAGTACTCGAAAACAACACTGGTTCGGATAAAACTTTAATTCTACAAGAACTGAGGTCGCATTCAATGCACAATCATAGTTAGAATGGTTAGCAAATGACGAATCCATCTCTCACTGAACGCTAAAACGAGTACGCACTAAAACGAGTACCAACGAGCAACGATTGGCACGTAACTGGGATCACTTTCCTTAGGATGTACCGATCACTACAACATTACCCTTGAAAGAGTAGGCTGGCACATGAAGGTTCAACGGGGCTGGTCCCTGAACACGGAAGCAACATTAGAACAGAGTGGCTTCCCTCAAAACTTAAAGGCAGTGATCACGATGGCTGGAGGGCGGAGCTGTTTGACTGACGTCATCGAACGTCTCCATGGCAACGTGCTTGCCAAGGGCGGTCTAACCATAGCCTGTGCGCTGACAATGAGTCCACCACTCCACTCCCAATGACGTCATCGTTACCGCACCGCCCTCCAACCGCCGTAATCAATGTTTTTGAGCAAAATTACCTTTCTTATACGACCGGATGCATCATAATGAGATCCATGGCATGGGCAGAAATAACCACCGAAATCACCGGCATTGGCTGAAATAATTGGAGTAATTCACAGTATATACCTATGGAGGTAATAATCAATAATACTATGTGCATTGACCCACCAATAGGTACACACCCAAGATGGGTGCAAACACCAATCACCACAGACCATTCTGGTTTCTGCACACGTTCATCGTCATGCTCAGCATGACGCAATTCGGACACATTTACAGCTTTCTCCCTGAAACCAGCGAAGGAGCAGATTGGCCAACTGCGCCACATGAAGCTGTTAGCTACACGGGAAATCCCTCAGTCACCAATTTTGAAATAATCACAAGAAATGAGAACGATCAGCTGTTTGCAAACAAAACAATGTGAAAATATGGTCAATTTATTTCTGCCAAAAATATGGCTCATTTTTAGGCTAAAATTTGTCCCTACGACAAATTTAAGGCCTGAGCACGGACTAACAACTAGATCAAAGGAACCGAATACGACATGATTATGTAATTCCCTATTAATGCTGTTCAATTTAGTACCGTCGCGCCCAGGAAAAGTCGAGCTGATAGCCAATCGTAAAAATTGTTTACACTGACGAAATATCTCGTTCTACGCTTTCTCTAAGGCCTATTTGCCCTGAACAATTTGACGTAGTCGAGAGGAAAAAAGGTGAAAGAATGAAGCATAGAATAGTCGGGGTGATCAGTTTTGGACTCGCCACGCATTCCGCCGCCATTAGGAATCGTAGATGCATTGTGAATGCGATGCGGTCATATACAATGACTTTTTCGGGTGCAGCACATGCGAAAATCGGTGTTTTTCAAGTTTATCCTCTCAGTCAGGTCCGAAACCAACCTTAACTCCAAGGACAAAAAAAAGTTTGGTTAGCCTAGGCGGCGTACGATCCAGGATTTGATCCCTGAACCACGCACGTGGGAGCAGCGCCACTTGTCATCACGCTACTACGGCCTGGGGAGAAAAATTAATGTTGTAAAATCTCACAAATGACCCCGGCTGGTTGCTCGTGGCATGAGGATTAATCGAAAATCCCTCTTGCACGAAGCTGAAACCTAATTCCCAGAGGGATGCATTTCTTAATCAGACCTTTGACAACATGCTTCACACGCCAACGCCTCAAGACATCCTTTCGAGATTAATTATTCACAGTGATATTTCTTCAGCTGTCTGCGCTCTCCTTTAAATTACACTTTGCTACACAGGACGAACAAGTCCAGCCAATAATCCAGTTATATGGCCCTACCCAGATCAGATTGTACCGTAACGAATCCAGCATGAACATCAAGAAATACTGCTATACACAGCACTCCATCGTTCGTACCCCCGAATTCCTCTGGTGGAAATTCGAAGCCTTGAACAGATTTCCCCTCCTGCGTTCATTCGATGCTTGCCCTTTTTGAAACTACCCTTTCCTCCCGATGGACGAAAAAAATCGATGGAAAAGTGCACGCAGAGCCTTGCACGTAACTGAGTATTGGTGTCAGTTGAAAAACGCTAAAGACCCTAAAATCAGCTGCGCTTGTTAGTTAGGCAATTGTCCGTTCCCCACTGAACCGAAGTTTGGGGTGCCTTCATGAGGGCATTTCATGGGGTGTTTCTTCCTAGGAATCTAGCAAAATCGATTTCAGCTAACAGGCCAAAGGACACACAGAAAGAGAGATTCCCTTTAGATTAAGTTCGTAGCATCAAGGTTCGAATAAAGAGCGCTACAGTATACTTGACAAAGGCTCACAACGCGTGAGATCATTAACAGCTTCCCCTTCTTGCAGGTGTGCAGGCAAATAACGAGTAGGAGTCATTTTTCAGTTCAATAACCTTCTTAACATCAGGCCATAAATAGACTGCACCTTGTCTTCCCAGGCGATAACGCCCAAACGTCAGTCCAGTGAGGATGGCGAT